ATCAAGGCTTTCTCAGTGTTTCTGGACGGAAAATACCGCACAACCCTAAAGTAATATTTATTGACTGTAGGTCTTATTTCTAGAAACTCAAAATACTTCGAAAAGATTCGAACTAATTAGTACTTCGTTTGAATGATACAATTGTCTCCAGAACTTCTAATTGTGATGAGTATGTCGTCCAGGGGACAGATTTTACGGCGGTTTGAAGGTCGACTAGCTCGCGTACAGTTAAAAATGTATGGAAAAGTCTGTTTACTACGAAAATACTTTATTCATAATGGGAAAACTGCATCCAGTATAAATTTGCAAAATTTTCGACCGGAGGAAAAATAGTTTTGACATTGAACATAGTTGGCGTTTGCATATTTAAATAAGGAACTTGACGAAAGAGCATGGGTGACAGGGTGTATGGGGCGCCGTTTGTAAAAAAAATGATTTAGCTTAATTTTGTCATTTTTTTCGTTATTTACTAACTAAAGTTTTGTGATATGATGTCATACGTTAATGATTTGATATAATAAATCCTGATTTCAAATCATGCGCTTATAAATTATTATTTCAAATCATACTTTTATGATTTGATATAGTAAATTCTGATTTCAAATCCTTAGCGCATGATTTGATAAATTATTATTTCAAATCATGCGGTTAGATTTGATATAATAAATTCTTATTTCAAATCATGTGTGTATGATTTGATAATAAGTCCTGATTTCAAATCAGACGGTTATGTTTTGGTATAATAAATCCTGATTTCAAATCATAAGTTTATGATTTGATATAATAAACCCTGATTTCAAATCTTGCGGTTATTATTTCAAATCACGACTTACTGATATGAAATCATAGTTCAGTCATTGACTATTTGATGTCCGGCGGATGATGGCTAATTCAATCGCTTATTTGAAACCACGAAAAGCCTTATTTCAAATAATAAATCATAATTTGATATCAGTAAAACCATGATTTAATTTAATAATTAATAAGTAACCGCAGCGCGTCCATGTGACTCGGCCCTTGGAGTACTAGCGCGGGAGTAATCGCAAAGATGGCGACACAACCAGACCATCTATCGAGGTCAATCGCTTCTGTGGTCTGTAGAGCCGTAGAAAGGGCGGTTGACCAAGCTTTGTCATCTCTTCCTAGCCTTCCAGGTTTTGCTCCTGCGACACAAGAGGTATGTACCATTGATGTATCACTGCATATGCATCGCTGGGTGATAACCTGTGTGCCCGCCCGCGCCCGACGTCTAACTGAGAAAATACGTTACAGCTATTCCTGCACTGAAATATAATAACCATTAAAAGATCGAAAACCTAGAGCTGTCGATAACTGGCTCATTATCTCTCACTTGGAAACCGTCCCGACACGTTCCTTGATCGTTTAGCAAAAGAGATTAAGATCACTAGAAATGAGTAAAGGCCTGGCAAAACTAGGAAACATTATTGTGAAAACATTGTTTCTTGTTATGCTTCCGGGATGTTTTGAGGCCCCGGTGGCTAAACGAGGACACATTGTTTTCGAAAACAAAGCGTCACGCATGCGCATAATAATAAAATGACTTCCGAAGAAGTCTGGGGAAGACTTTTTTACATATTTTCGTCTCCAGGCCACACACAACACATTTAGATGACATCTGTTCATCGATTTGTCAGTAAGCCACTTCCTTTTTGTCCTTAGTCTTCATCGAGCTACATCCCACAAACAGGTTCTGTCCTCATACAAGGTATGACTAACTTTGTCTCCTCGTCTTTCCAATTCCTTTTTTTTTTTTCTTTCCCTTCCCTTTTCTATGACCTGCTTGTGGCTCGTCTGTTTCGACCTCGCCGTCAATCTTTGTTGTACGCTCTGTGTTGCTGGGAAACATTGTTAATCAGCAGCACTGGAAACAAATTAACGTTGCTTTCATGTTGGCAAAACTGGAAAACGTATCAAGGTTTCCAAGCAAATTTGTGTCCGAGAAGCAAAAATGTTTTTGACCTGAGACAAAAAAAATTGTTTCTGCAACATATGTTTCCCGTGCGGCTTAACTTAAAACATTTACCACAGCAACGAATGTTTCCGCGACACTTTTTCCTAGTTTAGTCAGGCCTTAAGCGTTTGTTGTAAATATCGCAAGATTCTTGGCTATGGGACCGATGTTTGTCCTTCTGTTCATTCGTTCGTTGGTCCATCCATTAATTCCTTTTCGCCTTCAGTATTCATTCATTCATTCCTCCCTCTGGTTCACTTACGCATCCACATACATTCCCTCGATTTGTAGGCAGCTCAGTGGAAAAAAGAGAAATACAATAATCGTACATTATAACATATTCGGCAAATCTTTAAAAATGAGCGATTCTTAAAAATAGAACATAGAGCTTTAATTTAGTTTGAAATAAAATGAAAATTCCAGCCAAGATTAAAATAATCTCATTGCTGACAAAACCATTAACTAAACTGATTAATTAGGCTTATTACGAGTTGGTAGAGTCTTAAATGTCTCCTTCTTGAATATATCACTATTAAACGATCAAAGCCGGCTCAATTTATATTATACAGCGTTTTCCCTTGCGTTGCCAGCAGCCATGCAAATTTATTGCAACAAAAGAAAATGTTTACATAAGAAAAGAGTTTAACTCCCACAGGATTGGTTTAAATTTGGGACACCAACATGGCCTACGGTGTGCAAACACTCTATACCTTAACCCTTAAGGTACAGAGTCGGTTTGCACATCGTCGCCATGTTGGTGTCCCAAATTTAAACCAATCCTGTGGGAGTTAAACTCTTTTCTTATGTAAATTCTTTTATGATGGGAATCAAAACAGACAAAAACAAGTGAAGTAAAGTAAAGTAAGGTAAAATCCTTTATTTAAAACACGATTATCGTTTAAGCACTACATGTTTGAGGGGTCGTGTATCTCAAGTTGCGATACTCTGCTAGCTGGGTGGCTTCCAAACGCGCTAGTCTCGAAAAGCTTCTTATATCCCTATTTCGGACAAAAAAGGCGACATCTCTAACTTATTTTAAACTACTTATAACCTGCTTTGGGTGGTACACTTAAGCAGGTAGTCTACATAAGGGAGGAAACACCCACTTCCTTCTTCATCTAAGCATAGTTAATAGTGTATGAACGCAAAACAAATGATTGCGCACGGTCGTGGACCTTTCAACATAAATCTTGGCATCTTTGTTTGCTCCTTTGATGTTTGCCGGGCTTCATAACCAGTCCCCCTATTAACTATGATCTAAGGGAAAGGGTCAATGCTCCTTCATGATCCAATCTCCGGGATGAGAAATGATCGCGCGGATTATCTTCAAGCAGAATAAACGCATCGCCAGCCACTTGTGTATAGAAGAATGTTTGCGCAGAGAAAGCATCACGCTAGACACGAATTGTCTACAAACATTAAAAGAGCTTGTGAATCTCAATAATCGGTGAAATTTTTGGCTCTTTGGGTGTAATGTTCGAAGAGAAATTGGCTTTCAAAAACTGCAAAATTCCTGGGTGGCGAAAGCGCCAGTGAGTTCATACATTCTTTATAAAATTTTGAGCCAGTTTAAAACCCGCGTAGCACAAAAAGTATTCAATACATCGGGCTCAAATTCCTTGGGACAGTTACTGATCCTGCTGTACCCTTTCAATATTCAGAGCTAATCAATGTTTTTGTAGCTCCATCAATAACTGTATCGCTTATGCTAATATCACTTATGCGGGTGTGCTATTTAGGCAAATACAGTATTGTAAACTGAACAAAGATTTTCTATGGCCGCCGGCCCACTCGTTCTCAAACCTTCTCAAGCATTCTATACTACTTGAAGTTAAATCCAAAATCATGTTGTTCTAGTTGCCAGGAGCTTCTTCAGAACTTTGCAGGTGCAGGTGATACTCAGACCCACCCTAATTGAAATACATGTAAAACGGATGAGAAGTCAATCAGGTCACCATGTTGAAGAACATTTTAATTAATGGCTGAGGACAAGCAGATTTTTGCAGACAGGAAATCCGTTAGTACTTGCTTGTTTCATCGATCCCTCTGACTATCAAGTAAAATTACTTTGGCTACAAGGGTGGCTATTTTAAATTAATAACTAATTGGCTTTGTGTGGTATTGTGGGATATAGTTTCTGTACCGTTAATCCTTAATCCTCAAAAAGAGATTGTTTGGCCACTCAGTCAGTTCTGAAATTACGAACAGCAGGGGTGAAATCGTAAAATTTGACATTTTGTTGATTTATCCAAAAATTATTTATTCAATGACGAGTAAGAGCCGTAGACTGTCATAAAGACAGATTTAAATAGCCACCTAAAGATTATTTTGAAACATTAATAGACCACGTCTCATAAGAGAAAGAATAAAGTTTAGTTTAAAGCAACCCGTTTAATTCTTGCCTAATTTTCACCACTTTGGCTTATTCATTGGTGATACCCCTCTGGGAGGTGCGGCGGCTCATCGATCTGTAGCTCAGTAATCAGATCAGCTGGGCTCTTGATTTTAAAAAAACCTGGCGGGGTATGCAGAATAACTCTCCACTTATTCTTGACTTATAATGAACGGTTTTTTTATTGTCTGTCGATAGTTTAGATTACTTCACACGGGGCTTATGACCCTTTTCACATACAAAGAAGTGGCTTGCTGATACTGAGACTCTAACCGTTAGAAACGATACAACCCAAATTATGGCCGGGACTGAAAAACCCTCAGAACTCCAGGGGACGATAGGGGCTATAGTGCTGGAATGAAAGAGCTAAAGAGGGAGACAAGGTGGGGTATGGACGCTAGACTGTCGCGAAAGCACTAGGGGAGGATGGGCAGGTCGAGAGAGGGTGTGGGGGCGTTAAACTCCTTTTAATGCGGAGAAGATTAAGGGAAGTAAACAATACACGTATATGCCTACTTCAAAATTGTTAATCATAAATGAATGGGAGCCGCAAAAAAAGTTTCTAACAAAAAATATCAGACAGGTTTTAATGCTGTTGTGGTTAGGGCACATGCTGTTCACAATCTAGACATCTGTATGGGAATTTGTTAATCTTTGAAATTTAATTGGAATACTAGTTTTTTAATTTATGAAAACATGATTGATCATCGCAGATATACGCACAACTTAAGCAGTTCATGTGAAATTAAAGCCTGAAATTCAGGCTTGAGTGGTGATTCAAACATTCGACCTTTGCGATACCGGTGCAGTGCACTACCAACTGAGCTATCAAGCCAACTGGGAGCTGGTTACTTTGTGAGTTTGGATTATGCCCGCAGACGGTGAAGAATGCGAGTTAATATATGAAAGATCATATATTTTCAATTGAGTTGCGGAGAAAGATATGAAGACATGAGTTGTCATTGCAGTTGCACACACGACTTAAGCAGTTTTGAAATTAACCCTCGAACGTACAAGCGAACTCATACCCCCACCGTGGTACAAAGGGATGGAACCCCTTTCCCTTGGTTTTCGTTCTGTTAAGACACAGCGAAATAAATTTACATTGAGTAGATGGCTCTTACCATTTTTGTTGGTTATGACGGGATTTGAACCCATGATAGCTCAGTTGGTATAGCAGTGGACCGGTATCGCAGAGGTCATGGGTTCGAGTCCCATTCAAGTCTGAATTTTTTTTATCAGGCTTTAATTTTACAACTGCTGCAGAGGTACACAAATCAATGGAGGGTTTATATCTGGGGGTCAGATGCTTATAACCAGAATAATTTTTTTTTTGTTCATATAGAGAAGGACCTATTACCGGGAGGAGGGCATATAACCGAAATTTTACGCGATAGCAGTTTGTTCTCGTTTTCCCGAATGATTGCAGTTTTTGCTTTTGGGTTAAGTTTTACAACAGCTGCAGAAGAACAGTGCTTGCCGCAAACTCGTCGAACGTGAAGAAGATGTTAGACAACTTTCTTGCTGATAATGTCACAGGCAGGTCAATTTTCCTAACCGTGCTTTTTGCTGCGAAAGTTGTAATACTGTTCAATCTTATTTAATGGTGCGTCAAGCTTTATGCGTCATATGTTATTTTGAACACAAATATAAGACATATAGGTTAAAATTGAATCTCTCAAGAACTCAACTGACACTGCAATGGACTTCACAGCATGCACTTAAGGATACATTGTCATTGTCATGAGGCTTTGACAAATTTGCCGAATTACATAATCGTGACACATTCACGTATTTGCGCAAAGAAAAGCAATTATGACGCACACTGAGTACTTTTCCGAGCTTAATCTGTAAAATCCCTTGCGTGTTAAACAAGGAGCTCTTTCGATTGTTGCAAGTGCTTGAGTGTTCTTCTACGCAAGCGGACAGGAATTTTCCTTTTGCTTAGGTTTTACGATAGTTGTTTAAAAACCGCGATCGATCTATAAATAAATTTAAAGGAGCCGCGTTGTGGTTTAATTTCCCAATCTTGACAAATCTTCCCTGCAGAGCTTTCCACGGTTGACCATTCCAGCGCAGCCCGTCTTGATCTTCGCTAGCCTTACTCATCATAGTTCATTTTCGGTTTCCTGTAACATCTTTGGGTGTTTCTTCCATTTGGAGTTTTTCGTTGAGAAATTCTGTTCATCAGTTAAAAAAGAGTACTCTATTTCAACAGGATGACATAACTCTAAGCTTTTTAATCATGTATACGAATGTAGTAAAGTACATCCGGAAAAACGGTACTTAGTGATCAGCCATCGATACAACATTAACTGACAACAATAACGTAACAATGCAGTCAGATATTTCCAACGACTAGCGGCGTGAGTGCTTGTTTTCGCCATCCTTAACGGGGTCGTTTAGGAAACCTTTCGCTTGTATAACCGTAAGTTAGGAGTGTCAAAAGTCTATTCTAAAAATGTAGCTATCTTGTTTTGATCCTGATGCAACTATGGCAGCCGATGTGGTAATCGTAGCTCTTAGAAGATGAAAGTTACTTCTTGTGGTTATGTTAGTAAAAATTTCGTTATAAATAGCTTCTTTTTACGTCACTTAGTTAATCTATATTCATAAGGTTGTTTTCTTTCTTAAAATGAACAAAACGCACCGTGCGTGATTGTAAATTTTTTTTTTAAAAAAAGGCTCATAATTACGTCATTTGATCCATATATATTCATTAGTTGGTGAAGGTTTTTTACTTTTTGCCTTTTGTCAGTTGAACAAGATACCATCAGTGCATGCCTACCGCTTCGAAATTCCAAGGCCAACAAACATTGCAAGGCAAACGCAGGTAAAAAAAAGTTAATAGACCACTCAGTCCACAATGTTGTCCGACTTAAGTCTGCGAAATTCAGCTAAAAGCCAAACTAAGCCATTGCGAGGACTCGAGAGATTATGAAATTGGAATGAGCAGTACTGCCACTGATGTAGCGCACTTTGCTCAGCAATACAAGTCTGGCTGTTTTTTGTTTTTTTTTTCCAAACGAAAGCCGACTACGCAACATAACCTTTATGTGGAATTGTTTGTTTTTCAATACTGGTCAACACGAAATTCAAGTAATTAATTTGTATTTTGCTTCTGAAAGAGTTTTCAGGGCCACCCTTTTCTAATAGCGTGTAAAACTGAGAAAAGGATTCATGTATAAAGTCGTATCGTAACTGCAAAACGTGAAAGTATTTTGAAGTCCTTTTTCTTGAACAAAATAAACACAAGGGAGGTCAGGTACTCCGGAAACGAGTCGGGCTTCTCTTCACATGAATGAGAACAGGGCGGCGCGCAGCTATCGATCGACGATAAAGCAGATATTCAAACAATAACATCTCCGGTGAAAGAGGCCATTTACATTACAGGGCGTTTTGGATATCAAATTCATGTTTGACTTCTTTCAAAGACTGTAAAAATCAAGATTTGCAAAGGAGTCAGATCAGATACCTCTGCCATGCCCCTGGCTGAATTCAGCCCAGGGAATGTAACAATCTTATTGCCCATATAGAACACATCTATTCACTTTAATAGGTAAGGTGTAAAGTGCTTTCCGGGGTTAATTAGCGCTAAGACACTTCGTTGGTGTTAAGTGATTAATTTAGCCCATTACGACCGAATTGAGGTGTGGTAGTAGATAAAATCTTTTTTCTATTATTTAAGGGCAAAGGGCGGTCTGACCTTCTCAGAAGTTTAAAATCATTAGCTTATAATATGGTAGCGGTTTTTGCGTTTCTTCTCCTAGAGCAAAACGACTCCTTAAAACCAAATACCGCCAATGTGAATGTGAATATGTGCTAGTCTTTTTGTGTACTTAACAAACACCACAGCAATAAAAAAGGTTCTTTGATCAACTAAGATGGCTTAATTTTCTCAATTCTTCCACAAGTCATTAGCGAACAACGGAGTTCTATTGAGCAGGGATAAGCTTTGAATGAACACCAAGCGAGAAAGCCCCGTGAAAATGCGCCCTAAATTGCCCGCATTCAATCAGTGCATTTATTAGTCTATTTCCGGTGTTTATCGAGCTGTTAATTATTTACACAAACAAAAGATTGTACAGCATGTCAGTTTGCGAATCGCGCTCCTTGAGATATCACTAATTGAGTGATGGGGCCGTGTCAAGTTGATTATCCAATCAAGGCTCTGCATGTTGTGTAGGTTTGCGAGTCAACGTCTCCCATTCACTTGTTATTAGGTCTGGCGTAAAGTGGTCAGTAAGATGCGGGTTTCACTGCTACAAGGATTCATCGTGCTTTGTATCGCCCTTCATTCGTTGGATATTTCACTTGCATCCAAGCGACAAGGGTAGGTGAAGTAAAACTCTCTGGGACCGTGATTCGCGTGCCCAGGGTCCTACAGTTCTCTGGTGGCGATCTGATGAAGTTTTGATGAGGTTTCAAGTCATTACCGGGTAATTCGTTTCTAATTCTACTGACCTTGTGTAATTTGCCCGAATCTCCATAGGCAAAATAAAGAAGCGAGACTGACGCTGAAACCCGTCCACGGTGGCCAGCTTACGTTGTCCTCGGGCAGGATTAAACTCGGGGAAGTGTATTTGTCAGGAATTAATGGTCTACGCGGAGAAAGGGTAGGTCGGCACACTTCGGTGTAAAGCGAGCCTTAAATATTAGAGCAGTTGTCGTGCGCTACTGCAGCTAATCCAGCAATTATTTTCGAGCTGTTATTTACATTGTATGCTTGGAATTCGTTTAGTTCCTTAAACCGTCATATTACCTCACTCGATCAAGAGCTCTGTGATATGATTTGTAAGCGGATATCAGCAAATAGCTGCATATAGCTCGGTAGCCCGTCCATTTTGCACTTAACAAAAATATTGCTTTTGACCCTGACAATAGAAAGGAATAGGCTACAGGCGGTGCATTGCCACAGGAAATGCTGCTCGAAAGTTCAAAAGTATTGAGGTTAGAAAGTCCACCAAAACTTGGCAAAGTTTCTACGTGAGGCGGAGAAAGTTCTTACCCTTTAGAGACAGCGATGCTGAAAGACTGGGCGGGAAGCGGGAGTTTTTAAGTTGAGTTAAAATACATTCCATCCTCTTCTATCATCGTCAAAGGGTCGCGTATTACAATTTTAAGAACGAACCTTTCTGTTTCCTGTCCACGGGAGCCCTGAGTTGATGACAGTTGATTTAGCTCGTGCTGTGCGAACAACAGAGAAGTGTGGCGCTGTGCTTAACAAGGAACCCTCATTCCCGGCGAGCCTGGGAAGCTCAATAAACTTCATCTGACTAAAAAATTGATGATTGCATATTATTTCTGACTTCCAGGGAGAAAAAGGGCCCAGAGGTGATAAAGGCGACCAAGGAGAAAAGGTAAGTCCGTGAAAAATGGGTATTTGACTCAATCGCCATCTTGCAGAGATATCGATGCACTTCAGGCTTTCGCTGAACATGAGGTAACTAAATTTGAGATTCATATGGAATGCCAGAACAGGATAAAGTTGTGCTAGCTATTATTAGTCACCGTCGGTAGGTAGCAAGTATGCAACCGTATCAATTTCAGCGGTTTATTAGTGAGATATAATCTTTCTTGGCGCGACCTCCGCCTGATAAGGGCCACAAGATTAGCTGCACAGAACATTGTGCAAACCCTCCATCTGTTGACGATTGAATCGACAAACCTTTCTTTTAGTGTTTCCACGCAACGTTGGCCGTCACACAAGAAAGCCTAGTTCTTTCAGCCTCATTCTTTTGACCTCCAAAAGTTGCAAGCCAAATAAATTGTCAGTTCCTAGTCGTTAGACTGACCACAACGTCTACTGACTTTCTTGGCATTCCATTTGTCATATTTCTCGGCAGTAATTTGCTGATAGGAGTCTCAAAAGCTATTTACTTTAGCTGTTTAAGATAGTTCATCAGTATTCTCAGCTAGTCTTCAAGCACTTTAGATAGGATATTAAGTATAGATCAAGCCTCTAATAGCCCATGAGCTCCTTGTTGATCCAGGTTCATGTATTTTAGCCGGCATCGTGTTTATCATTGAAATTTTATTGACCATTTTTGGAAGTAGAACGGACTGCAAAGCATTTCCTTCAGAAGGAAATCTAGGATTACAGCCTACGTACATGTAATTGTGCGATGGAACAAGAGCGTTTTCATTTTCATTTACTTATTTTTCCTTATTATGAATACAAACGAGATGAGAGATGGAGATTATAAGAATTAAGGAAATTACGGAAACGTTCTCGTGAAACTGTTAAAAAAAATTACTCGACCGAATGCCAAAAAAAGAAACAGTTATAAAAAAAAAACAGTAAATGCGATTTCGGTCAAAAAAAAGCTAAATGTTAAAACAAAAAGGAAGGATTGAGTGCTTTACAATGTTTACTAGAATAAAATAATGGCAATCCGGATTAGTTCCACCATACGTGTGGCCCTTTCGAGGTCAGTTTAGGTAGTTACGCATTTGGCACGAATTGAAAGTTAAAAAACCGTGCGGATGAGCGTTATGTATTGTGGTAGAATGATGCTTGAGATAAAGCTTAGGGCAGTTCCGATGCTTAATAACAAGTGTCAAGTTTCTAGCTTTGTGTACAAAGTTAACTCCGAATGCAGGCAACATCTAAAAAGCTGGTAAAAGTCGTCATTTGGATAATTGTTTCTATTTTCTGCTCATGAATTGAAAATTTTGCAAGGATGAGTAGGTAGGGGGATGTGGGAGGTCTCAACGTCACCCAAATCGTTTTCGTACAGTGTCAAATCATGTACAGAGAAGTAACAATTCTCGTTTTAGATACTAGCCGGATTTGTTCAATTTATTACAATCACGATCACCACGTTTTCTTCTCGGTGTCTTCGTGAGATTAGTATTTTAGAGAAAAGAGTATTAGCTTGTTTATACGTTCCGTCCCAAGATTTTCCGAAAGTCATAAGCTTAAAGGAGATATGGGCACGCCTTTCTCAGCGGGGTTGGGGCCGGCATTTCAAGATAGAAAAACACAGACTTTATGCGGCTGAATAACATGCTAGTGGTCCAATTCATTGTGAGATTTAGTAACAGTACTGGAAGATTTGTCTGGGTAACGTGAATGGAGATGACCACAAGCAGTCTGCGAATTAGTGAGATAGATTTAAGAATTTAATCTGGGATTAAAACGCTTAGGAAATGGAACAATGAATCAGACTTAATGGCCCACAACGGTGCCAAAATCATCCCAGGATAACACTGACAGATTTACCAACGGCTTTTAAATAACATGCATACCCGTTGAACCCCCAAATCCTAAAACGTCTAAAATCCTTTCAAATTGCGCCACAAGGGGGCAAGGTATCCTTACCCAACTCAGTTGTGTACCAAAAATGCGGCATGTACTTCTACCAGACTATGAGATCGAGATTTCTATGAGGTGACATCTGTCGCATCAAAGACATCGAGAGCGCATATTCTAACTGCTCAATAGAATTTGAAGTTAAATTTCCTTCAAATAACGATTTCCAGTGTGTATCTTTACATGTTAATTAGTAAATAGTGCGCGCATTGAAGTATCGGCAGCTGTCTAAATCACTTTTGGTTCATTGAACAATTTTGAGGTTTTGAAGTTGCATAAGGATCAATTTCGTTTCGTTCAGTCTTGAGAATTGAATTATCCAGTAATTCGCGAAATCTTCCTCCGAAACATCGAAGAAACGAGAAAATGTTGTCTTTGAGTGGACTTCTTACCAGCTACTGCACACTAACGGCTGATAATGTACAATAGCTCAGCCAATCAAATTGCAGTATTTGTAGAATTCTATTAAAGTTAGTCATTTCGTCTGGTTGTTGTCGCTGTTGTTGTTGTTGCTGTCGTTGCTGTTGTTGTTGTACTTGATGTTGCAACGTACCCGCTCGCTGCTCAGCATTCTTCGTACATGGACGGTGTAAACTCAATTAGACAACAAAACTCTTATCAGACAGTTAAGTCTAAATGTAGTTATTGTTTGTTTTAAAATTTTTTAACTCACTCTATGGGGTCGTCAAAATACAGCAAACTGTTGTAAAAAAAAACTGAAAATCAATATTTTTGCATGTAGACCAAACAAACTTGGTCATTAAAATTTTATTATTGTTTTCTTATACAGAAATGGGATCCCTCAATTAAAATAAAACAAAAAAAATAGCCAATGAAATCACGCACACGCTACAGTCAAACTGGATCGCGGGCGCAGCTGAAAAACAATTTAAGTGACTGGTACGATATTTATTTTTTGGACGCTGGGGTTAATATGTCTGTTTCTTTTTTCCTTTTGTTAGGGTGAGAAAGGAGACAGCTGTTCGGACAGTTGCTGGAAAACTGCGGCATCAATTCTCCGCCAAACTACATCCGAATCTTGCAATGCTCGACTTGAAGGCGAACTGAGATACGACAAAACATCTGGCAAGCTCAGCGTCTGCAGCAGGAAGCAGTGGAGAGAACTGCAAACTGTCCCACGGGGAGAGATTAACAACTCACCGCCAAGAAAGTCCTGCCTTGAAATATTGTTCAAAGGAGAAAGTCAGGGCAATGGCATGTATTGGATTAATCCAGCGGTCACCGACCCTGAAAGGAATGCATTTCGCGCCTACTGCGACATGACAACATCAGGGGGAGGCTGGACTCTTGTTGCCAAGGTAACGCATGACTACAGCTGGGTGTGTCCTGACAGAGATGGGGGCATGTGCCTAGGATCCAAGACCAACCCCCTGACAGCAAACCTTTTCCATGATATCCACCAACGGGACAGCGTGGACATGTCCATCAAGAGCAACGCAGACGCCGGAATCCATTTGAATGACACAATCATTCGATTGCTCTTCGTATCTGGTCGACAGTCTGTTCGGTTCACCTTCGTGGGCTCGGGAAACGGTTGGACGCCAACGGAGGACGCGTACGCGGCATTTAACCCGAGCAAAAAGAACTCGATGTTCGTAGATCACGAGTGGGGTCAGTACACCCTTGAGAACGTGGACTACACGTGGAATATCATCCAACACACCCGCAAGGACAAGACGTTCACTGGCAAGATCATCTGCTGGGGAAACAAGGTGAAGCATTCGTATCGCTTCTACGACCACGGCCTCCATGTTGGGTCCCCTGCTTCGGCACACAAGCCGTGCTTACTCGACAATAATCAACACGAGGTCATGCTGAAAAGCCACTACGCCACCTTGCAAGGCTCCCCTCTCAAGGCACGCTGGGATATGGCTCAGTTTGGTTTCCTTGGAGCTCAGTATGTGCTGGTGCCGAACAAACGCATTGCAATATGGGTACGATGAATGACCCTGCTGACCGAGACTAGCAGAAGGATGCTTCTTGTCGTTGCATTTGTTCAAGTTTCTCGTTGAATGACAAATCTTATTATCATAACTCCAAACCTTTCAAGACCTAAATGCTCGCTCAGGTTGAAAGACTGTTTTAACGTTGATAGAAAAATGCATAGTGCATGGCGTACCCTAGAACGACGCGAACAAACCATAACCAACCCTTGTATATTTTTACCGATGTCGGCATACAAGTTCATTTTACTGCTCTTAAAGCATTTGAAAAAGTACAGACTGTAAGAATTTGATTATGCACGTGTCCCACTCGTGATGAGTTAGTTCTCGTGTGGGTTAATAAGCTTAAAATGCCGGACTAAATGCTCAGAGCTGATGTCAAGTATCAGTAAAAGGAAGCGTTATTGTAGAAAAATATTTAACCCTTTAAGCCAGTCAGACACGAAGCACAGACAGTATTAAAGAATAAATACCTTCTAAGAACATTTAATGCTCTCTTCTTTTTGTTACTGAAACATTTTTGCCGTTTAGAGCTTCAAATGACACATAAATAAAGTATCTTCTTCTTCTTCTTTTTCTTTTTCTTCGTCTTCTTCATGACCATTATGTTTTCCATACCAGTCATATTACAGTGAATGAAAAAAATTAATCTTTGCATGCTCTAGTAAGATTGTAAATGTACTGGTAATACATGTATGTGTCAATTCGTGTGAGATTTAGGGCTCTCTTGTCGAGTAATTCAACAGGTTTAATAACCAAAACTGCATTCCTATCGCCTTGTTATCACGTTCAGTGAAGCCGATGTCAGTGATTTATCAGTCTTCGAAATACAAAGTAAAACAGGGAGACTTAACTTGTTTATTGCCCGTCATCCGTTTTTACGGCTTTTGGCAAGATAAGATCCCCGTCTTTTGGTCGCCATTGGATTATGTTTCGTCTAAAGATATGTCTTTTCGGCCACTTTGAGCTACTTTTGGGTCAGTTTATTAAACGTTTTATCAATCCGGCACTTTATCAAGTCAGTTTATTCATCGAGGTTGCATGTAAGCCTTTGTTTAGGTGAAGAGAATGGCTAAATTAGTAAATCCTGAATCACTAAAGGGCTGGCATTCAATCACTCGACACTCTTCCTCCACTGAAAAAACCGACGGAAACTTTAAACCGCCAATAAGAGCAGATGTTGCGCCCAGTAAGGGAGCCTTTATGACGAATCGTTGAAAATTTAATTATCGTTTCAAGTACTATGTTCTATAGTTATCGCAACATTCCAAAGGGAATATAGCTGTTTAAACGACTTAGTGGGCAAAACAGCTTTTCCAGTGCTGCTGTTTTTGTCATTGATCCGTGTTTTTTTCGTTGGAGACACAACAAAATTCTTAGACCGCGAGAAGCAGGTCAACAGGAGGGCTAACTCTCAGCATCGATTCATGTGCATCAAGCTAAAAAAAAGCGCAGGTTATAACTCCATAACCTTGTTAACATAAGTTGACTGAATAATTGGTTTACAGGATGCGAAGGTCTATAATTAATCCTTACTTCCATAAAGTTGCAATTGTGCCTGGAGGCTTTTGTAAGCCTGCTTCTGATGAGGAGCGGTGCCTTTCAAGAGCGGTTAGCAGAGACTTTCCAAAGAGCATTCCATCGCAAATCATCAACAAAGCGATAGCTCAAAAGTGTTATTCAATCATTCGGGAGTCTCATATTCACAAATGCACCGGCCTTCCGCCCTTTCTGGCAAGCGAACCATTAGGCCCATTAGGCGCGCGTGCACGTAGAATTTAATTTCAAAATGTAATTAAAGCTACGTGATAAAATTGTTTGTAATACAATGGATTACCCGGCCAATTAATCATTTCTTGGCACCTTTATCAATGCCTTTGTAGAGCTTCTTTTTGATCATGTGCAATGCAGAGACAGGAAACATCGAGAGAAGAGATTTTGTCCTTGTTCACAACTGGAATTTCACCACGAATATGCCAAGTTCTACATGTTGCATACTGGAGTCCCGATTTGTCGAACCTCCAAGGGAAACGCAAATTGGTTAGAAAATTCAGAGAGGTCGAGAAATCGGGTGTTAAATTACAGTGTTCGACTGAGCAGAGGGAAACGACTTTTGGTTCGAGTTATCGGGAGGTTCGAAAAAATGAGGGTTCGAGAAATCGGGATTCCACTGACGTATTATAATCTCTGGTTTCAGCCATGTTATAATAAAGTGAACCACGTAAAAGACAAATGATTAAATGTTTTGTCTATGATGGGTCTGTGATGTTTATATGACGACTTGCTTGTGAAAACAAGATGAAATTATAATAAGCTCAAGTCATATTCCCGGCACTTGCCGCATAATGCTTCTTTTCCGCCGGTGAAATATTCACTCAGGCTTCTAGCTTTATCCAGTGACCCGAAAATGGCGGCCTCCCGCCCACTTCTTTGAGCCTTTTGTCGGGTTTGAGTGATAGCAAACGGCCGTTACAAAGTCCACATAAAAAATACAGTGTATCTTCTCACCATCAAATTAAATCTAATCGCGTAAAAAGGTTAAGGGAACCTACTGGGTTATAATTATTTTTATTTGATGTCCTCAAGCTTTCACCAGTGTGAACCTTATGTACCGTAAGTTTCATTTTGGTATAACTTGATATTTATGGAACAAAAATTGGCACTTCAGACCGCAAGGGTATATATTGCAGAACATAGTGCCGCAAGGGCTAAATTGATCAGCTTCCCAGATGCAAGGTAACCTTGGGAATGTATTTTTAGTGTCTTGTCTATTGACCGAAGTCCAAATTAATTTCGTCTTTGAGGGGGGTTAGAATAAGACTTGATTGAAGAGGGGAAGAAAAAAGGGCGGACTGCACAAAATCTAAGCTACAAAAATTTCTTGAAAGGGTTATCTTCAGACAGCGAAATATCTCCTTCCTTGGGAAGTGCTGCTGTTTTACATCAAGTTGCAGGTTTTTCGGGAATGTGGGCCATAAGATAACACTTTCCCAAGTGCTGTTTCCGCGTGTGTTACTATTTCTGTCAAAACGATCGGGTTTCCCTCATTTCGACCCTACTTAGTTTGCTAAGTAGTTAAACGCTTCTGAAATGTGGGACATAGTCGTTACAATCGAACAGCTTTCATTGCAGTAAAACATTTGCAATATGCTGTTGGGCGTTTCTGATCACAACTTAATGTGTTCACTAGATCTACTTGCTGATCATGGTCTGGCACCACTTAGTCGGTAACTTGCAAAACTTCAAGGAATGTTTTATCTAATTTTAGTACACTTCTATATAAAGGCATCCGTAAGTCACCAGCAGCAAGAAAATACATTTCAACGTGTTTCGAAGTTCTTGGCTGCTTAGAATTGCCGGCGACACTTACTGCAAATAACTCAGCTAAGCTACCAGGCCAGATGAAGCATCTGGTGATGTGCCTGCCTTATCAATTTTGAGTGCAACTCTGTTCCACAGCAGAAAAAATGTTTCTTTGTTGTTGGACTAACGCTCAGTTGTCACAGGTTTGGATTTCTGAAGAAAGATCTTTGAAAACATGAAGTAAAGCTTAAGAGATCTGGAAAAAAATTAAACTTACACATCTCATCTCATCTTCAGTTTCCGTGTTTTTGTAATTTGTTGCCATGTCTCTGATAGCAATCGATTCAACGCTTCCTGCACTTATAACCGTAAGCACGTTCGAGTTCGTGTTTTGTTCCTTTTCTTTTCTGTTTTTTTTTTTCTCTTTTTTTTCCAGAAACGTTGTTAAGCCATTTTTTGCTTCTTAATGGGATCAATGTGATTTAGTATTAAGAGATCAGGGCGTGAAAAAATAGAGTGGTGGCGGCCCTCTTTCACCAAAATCAGATCCACAGGCGTACTACTGTACCAAACAAGCGATTTGTGCATGTCATACATTCATCTTGAAGCTCTGTATTTCAAAGCTCTGTTTAGCCATGCAGAATGTGGCAATAACAGACCAGGAACTACCAACGATTGGTTTTTCCACTAAGCATTTGAGTCTGCAAGGGTATTAGATGTTCAAAGAATTATATGAGCTAGCCTCTTCTTCTGAGAATCCTGCGAAGAGTAATACTGGCCCAGATATTTTAAACAGAAACTTGTTCAAAATCCCAAATTGCTAATCAGTTCGCTTTTTACAAAGCGTGGAGGATTGAATCCGGAACCACCAAACACAAATACGACTAGTGGCAGGGAGGATGACTTGAACTTGGGACCTCCGGATTACAAGTCCAACGCCCTAACCACTAGGCCACATCTTCTCCAAAACTCAGGTCTAACCTTGAAGCTCTGCATGCATTTCAAAGCTCTCTTTAGCCAGAATGTTGAAACAACAGACTCGGTTTTTCCACTGAGCATCTGAGTTTGCATGGGCATTAGATGTTCAAAGAATTATAAGCTAGACCCTTCTTTGAAGAATCCTGCGACGGGTAATACTGGCCCAGACATTTATTTTCAGATGACGATCACTACGGGAGGAATAAGAATTTAATTTTTACCAATAAGCCAAAGGAAGTAGACAAAATGAGGTGGAAATCTCCGGTACTGAAGTGGAGGCTAATGTAGCAAGGTTACTCCTGGACGCAGATGGAACGCCTGGCCAGGGACTGGTGATTGGAGGGGTTTTGTCACTGGCCTATGTTCCGAAATGGAGTAGACAGGCTTCAGATCAGATCAGATTAGCGTAGCAGGAGGTTTTGAAATAAGGTAGATAAAGTAGAGCCTTTTGGAGATTTTAACTCCGGAGCTCAGCACGTTTTACTGTTTTCATAGCTTGACTCGAAGCAACTGGGAGCATTGCTCCACTGTACAATTTAGTCAGCTGGCCCCCATAGTTCACTTGTACCCATTTTTTCGTCTAAGTCAGGCACTGTCTTTCCCAGGAACAGAATCCATCAGGCAGACCTAACCTGGACCTGCAGGATATGGATACAGTCTGAACGCAGGCTATATGCAATGCGATTGCAGTAAAGGTCATTCTCCACTCACTTTTCAGAGTCCCTAGAACAGTTCGTGCAAAAGGCGAACAAAGTTTCTCTCCTTCTCCAAAACAGTTTTGCTTCTCACTTGCTAATGTTTTAAGTCCTTGGCCACTTACTGCAACTTACTTCTACCCTCTTGCGTTGACTGCTTATTTACTTCATTATTCTAACATACATTGATACAAGAACAAAACTTCTATTTTACATTAAAAATTAATCGAGAGATTATAACATTAATAATCTGGTAATCAAGTTCTCTCTTTGTCATGTCTACATTGCTCGCTTAAAGGTATACCTTTGCTCAACTAAACATATTCGACAGACCGAAAATAATTTACGTCACTACGTCTACTGTCACCAAGAAGAGCTCTTAGTTGTGCCACTGTTTTCATTTGCTCTTCCAAGAATGATAAACCTCTTTACAATATCACTTCAAGGCGATGTAACGCATAAAAAATGTCCGAAGGGGTAAAATGGGTCAAGGATTTGCCTTTTTGATAAATGAAATTTGGGTCAGTGGGACTGAGAATAACAGATAAAAAAAATGGAATTGGGATTGGGATTGGGATTGGGACTGGGATTTGGGAAAAACACAGGCTGGGAAATGGCAGGTATCCTGGGATCCTTAGGTAGTTCGAACTTGGTGCTGACGAACGGTTTTCGTAAGCTTTGGAAAATCCAAGGGTGCACAGGCCTTGAATTTCCTCTCGTTCCGTGCAAGCTAGTGTAATTGACCAAGGTGGTACTATATGTTTGCGTTCTCTCAGGCAACAAAAACTATTATTTTTTAAAGATTATCAATTAGCTCAGCCAGAAGTGCTGTCTCTGATTAGGACGTATATAATGGCTAAAAAAGTATCTTAAAACTTATTTGACATCCTTATTTACTCTATGGAACCGACTGCGTTCAACCGGATCTACAAGTTTAAAGGTTCTTGTAGGTTTGAAGGATGCAAATGTTTTTGTCAAATTCAGGCACCACTTGACCGTTAGTCGGGAATCTTAATGTCGCGTCCATTTTAAGCTGCAAAGAGGGATTACCAATTTAATCAGAGATGAGCTGACACTTTCCAACCTTGAATTCAGTCGTTCCTTTATCGTGGAATTGCACGCCCAACTTTTCTATTGCCTCCGTGGGTAGCTTAAGCTTTCTCCCCAGCCTTTTCAGCGGCATGGGACGTCTCCTGCTGACGCAGGTGAAGCCGGGTAAGCAGGGACAAGAAAAGGCAAACGAAACATCCTGCAACGAAACAAAGTAATACTACTGACCAAACCATAAACAATTTCACGCAATCAATCACACATAACGCAAAACGGCCGGTGAACCCCGTTCAGAACTGCCGAGCCTTTACCAGCGCGCGAAGTAGACTCGATTTTGGTTTTCCTCCCGTTCAGTTGACAAAACCAGTGATTTAGAGCTAGTTAGAGAGCTGATAGTACGCAAAATTAAAGCAAACGGGCGTAATTACTTCCAAAAGGCATCTACACGAGAAAACGCCATACTCGAAATGTTGAATAATTCATGTAATGTCTGACCAACGAAGGGCGGAGAAACTGGAAGGGAACGCTGCCATGCATAATATACCTAGTAGGCCAACCAATGGACTGAAAGAACCGGCATTATTGGTAATATTGTTAATATTAAAAATAGCACCAAAGTAAATATGAGTAATTTGTAGCCGCTAAATAAGAACAATGCGTTAACATCTGCAGCCGCCGCAACAACAGTGGCAAATGCCTAAGGAAACATGACATAAAGACAAAAGATATGTAGGACTTAGCTAGAAATCCTTCTATCATTCAGATTAGAATCAGTAACTGAAATTCAGATACACCTATCAGGAAGCTGCTCACCTCTGCGACACAGAGTTGTCCGGGCAAGCGGTAACCTACACACAGTCCCAGATCTTTCAAGCAACACCTTCCCTTCCCGCAGTCTGCAGTGTGACTGCAATTTAAAGACACCGGACTTGGATCCTTAGGAACATCCTTCAAAGCTCTAGCGATACATACACCAAGAGCAGACTTCAAATGCTTGTGTGGCTGCACACCTCTAGATTGATCTTGATTCCGCATACCAATGAGGAAATGACAGAATTCGGTCATTTTGCAATCTGCATGGGAATTACACGAGAAAGAGGTCTTCCGAGGAGGGGTTGGCGTTGCGTTTGTAGGCATTGGTAAGCATAACCTGGTCAAGTTATGGCAGAAATCTCCATCATTTTCACAGTCTGAGTCAGATGTGCAACCAGTGCGCGGGGTTGAACTTGTTGGTTCAAAAAACATGGTGAGGTTTGGTAGACAAATGTTGAAGAAGTTGTGGCAGTATTGTCCTTTGGGACATTCCGCATTTGTTTTACATGTTGGCACGCTTGGACGAGACGTCGTTGTCGCAGTCGCCGGAACGTGAGAGTTATCCAGACATGTTCCAAAAAACACATGGCAGGACTGGTTTTGGCGACAGTCTTGGTCTGTTTTACACGAGGGTGTTGTTTTAGTTTGTCCTGTCACTCTCAACTTACTCTTCTGTGTGGGCTTAATGAAGCATACCTTAAAAAAGCTATGGCACACCTCACGCTTCGCACAGTCGCTGTCATCTTGGCATCTCAGATTCTTCCTTCGTGGTTTGTTTGATGACGTTGTGCGACACTCAAGAGTATTTTGGCAGTTTGTGCTCTCTTTACGGTCCTGCAATACAATATTAATTTGACAGCATAAACGACGATTTTTGTATACTTTAAGCTCACACTAGGTCTCTCTCCGCGCTCACGAGAAAAGTCGTTGATTTCGGCACTGTTCCCTCCTTTTTCAGGATCGGAATAACTTAAGACGCAGGAACGGCCTGACAGACAATCGAACTTGCTTCACGTGCATACCAACAGACGTTAAAGAGCTCTAATCGCCCATCAACATATCAAATCATATTCAAATCAGAAGAACTTTAAATTTTACCCAAAAACATCTCAAAGGGTGGTACGCCCTTAAAGCACTTAGGCACCAATATAACAAATATTGCCTAATCAACTGAAATCTTAATTTGAGTCAACAATGACACTTTTCTGTAGACTGAGAAGGTTACGAAGAAAATTGTTCTCTTTGTACCACAGTTTGAAGAATTTTTCGTCGAGAACATATTGTTTTGCAGTCTCAGATAGGGACTTTGTCCGAGATAAAACAAAAAAAATTGTAGCCGATTTGAAGATTGAAAATACAGATTTCATTAATTCGTGGCTTAGTTTATTTGACGTACTTTACCCCACATAAAGCTCTGTGTCTCTAGTGTCAAACTTTATGTCTTATTGGTTATAACAAAGCTTCAACAAAGGATATATTAGAATAAATGCACAGGTACAGGAGCACTGAAAATAATGTCGTGTCTAATATGGAAACAAAATATCGAACAAATTCGAAGAGCCATTCTAAACATGGTCTGTCACAAAATATTATCTATGTCGCATATTTTTCTTTTTTTTTTTTTTTTCAAGTTCAGTATTCCTAGCAGTATATGACCTATTTTTAAAGTATGGGAAAAACAGCTGTATGCACCGCATGGATAACTTTAGCTTTATTTATAGCACAAATGATAATTTGTTCCTGTTCGTCTCTCTGTTGCTAGCCAATCGCATGAAGTAAAACATTTGGAGATGCGTTATTAACAAACAAAGTGATCGACATTCTTAAAAGGTTTTCTTGTCATCAAAGCAATTGCCTAAAGGAACTCAAATAAGTGTACTGTTTTAAATAGCAATTTAAGAAATATGGAAAATATGTCATTGCGGTCAGAGTTGTGTTCAATGACGCGTAATGAAAAAGTCGATTTTTCTGAGCGGATTTCCACGGTAGCGGAAACGTTTTAAAGACAAGATCAAATTTTAATATTCCTGACTCGATGTATCACTTTTGAGTTGTAAATAAAGATAGTTTTCCCATGTCCAATCGTTCATGGATGAAGGTTATCTCCAAATCGAACTAACTGCCAAAAGAGATTGAACGAGTGGTAAAAAGTGAATACTGCAATGGTTTTTTGCAGCATCTCTATTCACTGGATTCTTCGAGAGATAATAACATTGAGTGTCAAAGCCAAGGACCGAAGTGGTGGTTATGCTAATGGCCTTGCATCAAAAATAGACGATCTTGAGAGTAAGTTAATTGAAATTTTTGGTGATAAAAAAAGGTTGGAGGTTTTTGTGCAAAAATAGCTCATCACGTCTGATGGTCAAGTGTCTTTTGAGAAACTTCTTTGTTTTGCTAAGTAAACATTTATAACAAAGCGACAGATAGAATTTAATTTTGTGGCTACTGATTAAGCTTTCTACTGCAATATACGGAGACACGCACGAAGAAAATTGAATGAATTGAGTCAATCATAAGTTTCTGTTTTACGTTTTCAGTTCATGGCCGCTGAGAATCTTTTCGCATAGACTCTTCTTGTCGGAATTTACTTTGCTGGGCATTGTAGCAGGACTAAACAAGCCTCCCTTTTTCCTCGTTCATATGCATCATTGAACCATGTTCAGAAAAGCCTACAAAATATTGCTAATGTACAGCTCCCTTAATTCAATATGTTCAAGGGCCGTCGTCCTAGTTGCTGCCTGTTTTAAGCTCACCGCACAGGAAGAACGTTTTGTAAGATAGGGTGGGAAACCTTAAAAGTTATGAAACATGCTAAACAAGCCAAAGTAGCCTATTGCACTGAATTCGGTCCTGAAAATTACTTAAAAAGCCACGATAAGCACTTCATTTTATGGGGAGGGGAGGGAATTACAGGAATAGCTTAATCACCGTCAAAAATTAGGTAATTCGTGGCCCTTTCGATCAACCCAGGAGGTAATACCAGCTCTAATCACTGTTTGTATGCGAACGTCCAAGTCGCAAACCCCAGTAACAAAGGCACAACGCCATGAGAGCCTACGAGTAGTCGGTAAGTAGACAGTTACGAACATATAAGCCGCTTACCTTCAATGCGTTTAAATCTGTGTCGCCTCCATTGGCCACCAAAGAAGAAGAGACTGTCAACAAAACTAGTGCTGTTAGACAAGCTCTAGAAGTCATCTTGAGACAATTGACAAATACTCGAATAAGCCCTTGACTCGGCTGAGTGATTCAGTGGTGTGACTTAATTGTATTGAGGCACAAGCTTGTTCCGTTTGAATGTCTTGTAATTTGTTTGGGTCGCTCGGCGTTGTAAAA